AAAGAGGATAGAGGGAAAAATTCAATTGATTTTAAGAAAAGAACTGACAGTCCCTTTGTTTTAATGAGAAAAAATACAAAATGAAGAGAATGAAATCTTCCTTTTCTACTGGTTGAATAATTACTGAAAATGAAAATCCATTGTAACTAAGCAACAACACTACAATTTCCCCGATTAAGTATGCTGTGGCTAATCAACAAGAGAAAATAAAAATCCTGGCAAATTAAGTATAATTTCCTTGACCCTGGCCAAAAAGATCTGAAAACTATGAGCCATATCCTCCCATTGATCTATTCTCCGAAGCCTCATTGACTGAGGTAAGACACTAGCAGTCTTAGCAGAAAACTGCTTATCATCACAATGCAGGAGGCAGGACAGCAGATCAATATGTCTAGATGTGTTCTTTAAGTATGCAATTAATTTATTTGGAACATTTTCTATTAGTTGAGATACAGAATAAATAATTTGACAAGGAGATTTTGAATTAGTTGTGAACAGCATTTGACAGAAGATAGAATTTACAGAAGAGGAGGAAGGAAATCACTTTGATAAACAAGTGAAAACAATTTAAATTCTCATATATTGACTTATTTTGTTTCTATAAAAGCTGATTTTGTTTGTTTGTTGCTTATCTGAATGACAGTCCGTATAGCAGAGACTTGGTGTAGATGTTATATGGTTTGGCAGTATCTGACTTTTATTTTTGAAAACAGTATTACTTTTATGAGCCATGGAAAGTTACTTTAATAAACTTTGCAAAATATGACAGAAATATAACTTATATTTTATAACAGTATTCATAGTACAAGCTTGAATAATCAAAATATAAGAATAAAAGTAAATTTTACACTACAGAAGATATAAAAATTGTTAGCATGAACCTGAAATAGCATGTGTTTCTTTCTTTAGACATTTAGACTTATGATCTATTTCTAAATTTACTTAAGCTTTGCTTCAACAGCAAATATTTGGAATTGTGGATCTTTCTTTTTAAAAAAATATCTCACTATTCTCAAATGATAGAATTGCTCTATTGTATATATGAATCTTCGTGCAATTTTTAATGACTATTCTTATCCACATAAACTGAAGTCAATTATCAGAAGAGACTGAGAAGACTAGATTTACCATCTTTACCAACTGTATCTTTTTTACTACATTAAATTTCTGTAAGATATTAATTACTTAAGTATCAAATAATTCATGTTGCACAAGAGGATGAATTTATTAGGCAAACATGCTGAAAATTGGTTCGTTCTGCAACTGTTATTCTTGACATCATGTGGACATTTATATCTATTTAAGATAGTATTGTTTTAACATTTGGACCTATTTCTTACCTGGACAGAAAAGGTGTGGAAAAAAAAGTACAAGTTTCTATATTATTTGGATTTTTATTGTTATAAATAAATTACTTAAATTGATACATTATATTAATGATATAACTGAATAAAGTAGTGTGACATATGGTAAGATTTGAGGAAATACAAATACCTTAACACCATAGATATCTTCATGTGTAGATAATTAGGGCTTAATTCAACATGATTTTATCAGTGAGGAGATGCCTGTTTTATGAACTTCTCATCCATAATTATTCTGATTTATAAAAGAAACCCTCTCTAAATATAGGACTCTATCAGACAGAAAGCTTTTACCATTTTTTTCTTTAACTCTTCTAATGAGCCCCATAGTGACTCCACTGAACAGCAATTTTCCAAGGTCTGAATAGAATATGGCAATGTGTAGAATATGTATTTTTCCAATTCTTGTCTTTTTAAAAAATTTTTCAATTCAGGTCATTGTCTAAAAGTGTGCCACTACATTTAATTCAAAGTTGTTTTCTCTTTTAATTTTCAATTATTTAATGATTAGTTTGCCTTGAAGAGGGCTGCTTTTCTAAAAATTCTTAAAGGTTTCTACATAAACTACCTATGGAAACCAACTTTGCTTCTCCATTTCAAGGCATTAAAATCACTCAAATTGAACATGATAGTTGGTTAGATATATGCATACAAATACTACAAATAATTTTGAGATCTCATTAGCTGAGCAATT